CACGGCACGGGCTAAACGGGCCATGCCCGGCATGCGGCACGCCTTGGGCCGTGCCTGGGCCTGGAGCCTGGGCACGCGGGCCGGCACGGCACGGCCCGTTTAATTTTTTTTATATTTTTTAGATATATATATATATATATATACCTAAAATACAGCCCAATAGTTCTAAAAACCAGCCCAGCAGGCTGAAAATGTGCAGCCCAGCGTGCTAAACGGGCCATCGGGCCGGCCCGTTTACTAATCAGGCCGTGCCTGGGCCAAGGAGCAGCGCCCGTGGGCCGGCACGGCACGGCCCGGCTATTAAACGTGCCATGGCGGGCCGTGCCGGGCCAGTCACGATTAGCACGGGCCGTGCCGTGCCGTGCCGGGCCGGCCCGTTTGGCCAGGTCTGATTGAGTGGGGTGGAACAAGCGGTCGCATTGCTCTTCCGCCTCGTACTCGTTGCGCACCGTCTGGTTGCGCAGGAACTCGTTCGCCACCGCGCATACGGGGCCGAGCGACCCTAGGCTCTGGAACTCCGCCATGGCCGCCTCCATGGCCGCCGCCGCCGGAAGCGTCGTTGGGGTGGGGATGAGCCGACGAGGGCTTTGGGCTTTGAGCGTTTCTGGGCGTGGTGTTGTGTGTGAAGTGGAGCAGAAACGGCCCAAGGAAATGGTGGAAAATGTTTTTTTAGAAAGGCCATAGCGGCTAGTTTTTTCTTTTCCGGATGGCTAGCTTCATTAAAATCAAAAGAGCATTACATCGTCCACGAGCTTAGTGACGAGACAATTCAGAGGTTCGTTTGTCTGTCCAACTAAGTAGAATCTTATTAAAAATTATAATTTGCAAGCACATCGCTGCCTGATTAGCGGAACTATCACAATGTTAAGTGATCTTTCCAATTAAAATAGCTACGTCGACGCACTCTGCAAAGATTGCAGAAGCAGCATCCCACCATCTTGTTCGTCCAGTGCAAAACTCAATCACGTTAAGTGAGTCAGATTCAGCTTCAACTCGAGAAAACCCTAATTGATTTCTGAAGTTTAAGCCGTCACACATTGCTCTTGCCTTCATGGATATAACATCTACAACATTGCTCTTGCCTTCACACATTGCTCTTGTAAGTGCACCTTGCCGCTAGAAACATACATTTATCCCTCATGATCAATGTTGTTGCACCAGCTCCCTCATCCTCAAAATAGGCTGCATCAACATTAAGTTTAACATATTTTGGTTTTGGCTTGTTTCATCTTTGATCTCTGTGGGGGGCAGTACGAGACTCAGCCATATGAAAATTATTTGCAATTGCTAGTACAAATATCGGCCATCGCAGGATCAGTGGATAGGGCTCATTGTGGGTGATCTGACGCCGTATCCACCAAAGGTACCAACAACCCACCATAAGTACCTACGTACAATCAAGACTTGGTTTAGTAAGTAGAGGCGTCGCCAGCTGGAGCAACAAGTGTTCCATGATTATTGATCCCGAGTAGTCAACTTGCATCACCTCTTCTATGATATCCATCATGCCCAACCTATTCCATATCTCCCTGGCAATGCATACAATCAAATAATGGGTGCCTGACATCTTCAGCTCCTTGATGACAAATGGGCCATGCGCCATGAGGTCCAATGTGCATGTTTGTCAATATGGAATTTAGGGGTATTATTTCGTGCAAAATTCGCCATCCAAACATCTAAACTTTACGCTTTAATTTCCAGAGAGTACTCCACACAGCCGGTGATCTAGAGCTACCGGCCTTCAAGTTTCCATGTTTCCTAAAAGATTGTATCCACTGCATATGATATGTTGTCCGAACTGAAAAAATACCTTTTCGATTAGGATGCCATGCTATGAAATCCTCAAAAGCTTGTAGGTTTAGTGGGATTTCTACAGTTCTCCTAACATCAACCGGATTGAAGATACTTTGGATTAGATTATCATCCCACGATCCGGTCATAGGGTCAATGAGGTCATTGACCGTACTGAGACACTACAAGAAATATGTCAACTTATGACCACCACTATTGGTCACTGAAAGGTCAAAAATTTCCATTTATGACCTTTTTGTGACCAAAAACAGAAGGTCAAAAGCTGGCCATCGTAAACTGAATATAGCGACCTTTTTTCTGGAATGGTCAAAGACGTTTACGACCAAAATATTCCTACTGTGGCGTTTTAGTCACTAGCAACCTCTCCAGGCCACGTAGGCATCCAGCGTGGCAAGCTGATGTGGCACAAGATTCAGCCCGGTCCGATTTGGTGTTCTACATGGGCCGAGCCCATTAATTCGGCCTTTTTAGTTATCATTTTTTTGTCATTCCGGTCTGCTACATGGGCCTGGCCTAATATTTCAGCCTTTTTTGTTTTTGGGTCAAGGCCTTTCTGGCTCAACGGTTTGTATTTTTTTAGGAGATGGGTCCAGTACTCAAATGGGTCCCGATTGTCATGTTCTAATATGTGGGTCCATGTTTTCTATTCATCGGTAAATAAATAACCAATATTCAAATCAAAACAACCAGAAAGCACAGATAATACTTCAAATATCAGCCAAAATAAGTCTGTTACATCATATAACTTAGATACAATGGTAATCACAGCCACAAGCTCTACAAGTCTCTACAAGTGTAATCGCAACCACAAGCTCTACAAGTGCCCTTTGACAACTTCAAGTAGCCCTTCGGTTTCTATCAGTCCCGATTTGAGGAACACACCAGGCTTCAGGGTCTTCTCCATAGTGTCGACCAAAGATCTCACCCTTCATCGGCATCAGAGTGATGCACCTGAACATGGCAGGGAAAAGGATTACCTGCCAAAAGCCAAATTTATACAAGATATCAGCCTTTCAGTGGTGCAGAATATCAGAGAACCATGCTTCAGCATTACAGGGCATGGAAACGTAAAATGCAATTTTTTCACAAAAGGCGTACAATCACAAATTTACTATCCACAAAATTAAATTGGAAAAAACAAGTGAAACAGTGAAGTGCATGTCAGCCTTAGTGTTTCTATTTCCTACAAATGACTGAGACCATGGTGTTTCAACCTTTTGCAGAACACTATTCTATAACAATATATATTGAGCATGCTACAACAGAAGCTTGAATTTATGGTTTCTATACTTCTACATTATACATCCTCAGTAATATAGACCTTTTTGCTACATACTGTACACGGCAATAGGAGAAAAATTCTAATAAATTCATTACACGCTTGCCAATAAAAATGACAAGTTAACTACACACCAGGGAACATAAACTTGAGAGGTTGAGATCAAGGCCTATCAACTACATCATATATATGCATTAAAAAAGAAGGCCATATGGACGACCAATGCATCATAATTATCAGTTTTAAACACTACAGGACCAGAAAGTAGGTGCTACTTCAAGTTTTAGAACTCAACCATTCATCAGTAATAGTAGCAATTTAATCTTACTAAAGATAGGCACTACAGCCAGAACTTACACGCAAAGATCCTGGAATTTTATGCACAACACCAACAGATTAGCTATATGAACACAATACCAGAATTTTATGCATCATGAATGAAGAAATCAAAATAGGATGCTTCGCTTTACTTGTGTGCGGAGGATAAGCAAAAGTAGCAGCACATGCTTTTCCTATTTGCTTTGCTTTCCTATTAGCATCTCCGGTCAATCAAACAGGATGCAGCAAGTGATTACATTAACCCCGATTCAAATATTTGAAGTACTGGACAATCATTTCATGCAGCCATTCATAAACATACTACTACAAGGGAATTACAACTTTTATTTTAAGCATAATGTTTAAGTACGTAAACTTTCCTCAAGAGTCCCTACACACTACTACTCAACTACTATACGTGCATAGTACTCTGTCAGTAAGCAGCAGAGGAGATTGAAACGTAAGGACCATGTGTGTGTGTGTGTAGAAAACACACACAATAAACACTGGACATCACTAGTCACCCTACACATAGCAAGCTTCAGATGTTTAGAACATATCAACATGTTGAGCAGTTAGGGAATCACGAGAAGGAAGTAGGAGGGTGGATCATGATGGTCTCACCTTGTTGCCATCGTCCTCATCCAACCCCGGCGACCAAGTACACATCCAAGCCAGTTCACGAATCCATGGGTGCTAGCTTGCCTACCAGCACCAGCATTGTGCCCCTGGATGCCACAAAAACAACCTGACTTGTAAGCATAGATAGAGAAGAACAAAAGCGAAACAACACACTAATGCTATAGTGCCTCCGAGTATAATCTTAATATAGCCAGCAACACTTAAAAGAAATAATATCTATAGAAGATTCCATACAAAGTAGAACAGTTGTACTTGGCAATGCACACATAGCTACTGGTAACTAGTTATTTTGGTTCATTGTCATCAAATTAAAAAAGAACCAAAGGAACATACAAAGAGTACAAGAACAAACAAAGCTCATTGTCTGATTTCATTTTAGCTAACAGAATGTTGTGACAACAAATGTGAAATGCTTGATGATGTACATGAATTCACATTTAGAAGGAAATAACTGAAACTACTCATCATTCATGAACATACATATGTAATCTTAATCTATGAAATTACTGCAGAAAGAACTACTGTAATGGACCATTCATCAACATACATCTATAATCTTAATCTTTTGATATTGTGTTGGAAAGAAAGAACTACTACAGATTCATAGTACAACGAAGGAACTGCTGTTGAACTGAAAATACTGCAGAACCAACACCAAACAGCTATTGCAGACAACACTGACAAAGAAGGAGACCGGGGTTGCACTCGCAATGCGCTAGCGTGTAGACCAGGGTTCAGTAATAGGAAACAACTGAATATGACATAAGGATGCAACAAAACTAACATGACAGGGTAACATGGCATTCAGCTACCCCAAACCATCTAGATCCCAAAATCCGGGGCATTTCCCACTCCCAAATCACTGCATCCTCCAACTTAAAAGGATGCAAACACTTGACAGTAACTCCATCCTAGCTATGTAATTCAAGTTCAGCAACAGAAAACAAAACTGCTGGATATGACAGTAGGATGCAACAAAATTAACATGACACGACACGGGGACGAAATAAACAAGTTCTAACTGAGATGCACAAAACGGTCTACTGCCTCAACCCATCTGAACCCCGAATCCTAGTACCAGCAATTCAATCGAGTAGAGAGGAGGAGAGGACGAGCTCACCTACAGCCAGAATAAGATCCATGGCTGATACATCCTGACAAGCAGCCATGGTCGAGCACTCCCTCCCCAGGCGCCATCCATCCTTGTTGTCCAGTCTATCTACAATCCATCCTTCCTCCTGCATACCTACAATTGAAGAACAGAGCAGAGTTAGAGAGAGAGAGAGAGGGAGAGAAAAAGGAGGGGATGGAGTCACTAGAGGAGAGCTCGAGTACCCCATGGCCACCGGGCGGAATAGCACCATCCAGGGGCTAAGCCACGTGTGAGGGTGCGGTAGATGTCGGGGAGGAGCTGCCAAAGTCGCCGGAGCCGTGCTGACCATGGATCTGGAAGGGAGGCGGCGCAGATGTGTCTGATTTGATCTG